AATTTCAATTGCAGAAAGCAGCCAATGGTGTTTATTGAAGACCCTCATGCTGTTGCTGCCACAAGTGAGGATACGGGAACTGCGTAGTGGCACTGGGCAACGTATCAGGGGTCATTAATAGAATGAAAATGGTTTTGCTGGGGAGGAGAATAATTTCTTTGGCAACTGCCCCGAGAGCGCTGAGAGCTATAGCTATCAGTCCCTTGGTATGCCTGGTTATTATTATCCCAGCTGCACATTTCCTGGCGTGAATCGCTGCTGGTGGCAGGGAGGAACAGTCTCAGCGTGAGATGTTCGTTATCCTGCCCCTTCCCACTCACCCATGACTGTGCAAACCCTCCAACGCTCACAGGAGCCGCCGGCCCGTTTGCCCACTAGCTGTGCAGCCAGCTCTGCAGAGCGCCTGTTCAAGTTTCATTTGACAAGCCCCAGATACAGCAAATTGCAAATCCCTGCTGGATGGGGGTCTGTGGTAGTGCTAAGGAACTGACTGACAGACTGAGCTGAGTTGAGTTGGTTCCTCCCTTTTCTGCCCATCTCCCTGTGGCCTGCTCCCCCACACACATTTACCTCCTGGTGCTCCCTGCCCCCTGTTCTCAGCTGGGTGGCTGCAGACCCTGCTGCCTCCCCTGGGCTTTGGACATTGGGTGGCTTTTTGCAGGTGGTTGTGGTCAAGAAAAGCACCTTCCCCATGCAAGACTGTCCCCTACCTCCTCCCCCAGCATTACAAAGATGACACCTTCCCCATCTGCACCCAGGCTCAGAGCTAACACGTGGCTTCAATTCGCCCAGCAGGACCCAGCTCCTGCTTGGGCTAAAGTCAAGGAGCGGCGTGACAGTGATCATGTGACTGTTGTCTCTGTAAGGGGTTGGCTGCCTTCAGCCTGCCCCATCTTCTGCTCCTAGAAAGGCTGTAGGTGCACCAAACCCCCAGCTCCTGGTCCCTCACACTTGCCTTCCTCTTCCCGTGGGACTTCATGTGAAAGGAAGGAAGCGACAACAGGGGCTGAAATGCCAGCAACACCAAATAAAACCTAGCTTCCTGCTATCTTCGTGCCATGTAAATAGCTCCATCTCCAGGGATTTCTTAACACTTTACTGAAATTAGCACCTGTAAAAAGAGCAGCTGCCAAAGCTGAATTTAAATAAGATGGGCAGGCTTCTGGTAGGAAGCGGGTAGAGGATGAGAGAGCTCTTGGTTTCCTTGAATCGCTTCCCTCCATGAAGGCATCTGCCTGGAAATCAGCTCCCAGCTCCTTTAGCCCTGCTCAGTGCCCACATCACTGGGGCAAGATGCCCACAGCTGCCTGAAGGCACTGGGCACTGTGCCTGCCCGGCCAGACCCAGGTCTGGGCACCCCCATGCAGGTGTCCACGCTGTTTGGGCTCTGGCAATGCCACTCCCAGTAACCAAAACGCTGCTACTCACTGAAGCAAGCTGGAGAAGTGCAGGATGCAGATGCCCCTGGCCTCCTCTTGAGCTTGATAATGTGTCCCAAGCCCTACGCAGCTTTAGGGAGCATTGCAAGCAGGCAGCAGCAACCAGGGATTTTTTTTTTTTTTCCCTTTTAATTGGGGCTAGCAGGCAGCACATGCAGTTCACTACAAATGAGTAGGAATTAAACAACTCTTGTGGCAGCTAAAACAGGACATGTGGGTTTTCAAGAGGGGAGCTGCAAGTGGGTAGGGAAGGGCTCCATCAGAGCTGCAGCAGCTGAGGCTCAAGGCACCTCCATTTGCAGGTGGCGATGAGGCACTAACAGCTAAGGGAGCTGGGGGAAGCAGCAGCAGGTTTTAGATCGTGGAGCTGTCCCTGAGTTTGCAAGCTAGCAAGCAGGGTGCAGTGGAGGCAGCAATGCTGGCACACCAGGGCTGGCAGCAAGGGTGTTTCCCATGTGGGGATGCCCATTGTATGCGTGGCTGCCCATCTGTGGGGCTGCCAGTGACCAAGCAGGGAGAGGACCAGAGACCTTCCTTGTGGAGGACACACTCCCGTCTGCCACGGGGAGGGGGGGCAGTGTGGAAATCAAATGCTTCTCTTAATTTTTCACTCAGCTCATTAAAGTGTTTTTCCTGAACAGGTCTTGTCCTTTGCTTTTGCACTTCCCCCCCTAAGTGAATCCCCGTGTCCCTGCCTGCCCCCACCACAGGACTGAGTGGAAGGAGGAGAGGGAGGAGGGAGCCAGGCACATGTGAGCAGTTGCAATTACAAGCTCCGCATGTGCTCTCCTCCCACCCAAGTCAGCCTCATCCAGACACTGGTCTCCCGCCCATTCTTGGCCCAAAGATGGCTTTGGAGGAGGCTCATGGTGGTGGAGGGGGCCTTGCTGGGTGGTCAGTGCAGCTCTGCACACTGCATGGTCCCTGCAGCCAAACTGTGCGATCCTGGGGTGGGAAATTTGCAGCTGGGCTGGAGCGGTAATTAGTTATGGTTATGTTACAAGTTCTGGGCACTTCTCGTTGATGAAGTGACTCAGATCTCAGAGGTGCCACAGTGCGGGAGATGGTGGGTAGCCAAGATGGAGTTAATGTCCGTTTGCTCTCATGCAGGAGACGCTGGCCACCTGCGTGTTTATACAAGGCTTATTGCTCTGCTTTGGTGCAGAAATCCCCTACCTCAGCTTCATTCCTGCCCCAGTCCCTCCCCTCGTTCCCACCTCTGCTCACATTGCTGCAAGATGCCTTCTCTGCACCAGTGATATCCCCCAGCCCCCTGGTCCACCCTGGCTGTTGAGGAGGTACAGCATCTCCCGGAGCACAGTGCTTGTCAGCCCAGCATCCTCTTGCCGGGCCAGCACAGTGTGCTCTGGGAGATGGCACAAGGAGCAGTAGAAGATGTGGAGACGATCCTAATTTCTTAAAGCCTGAAGTGTAAAGTTCTCTGTTAATGCCAACACTGCATACTTTCCTTCCATGCACACAAGCACAGTTTTTCATTGATTAAAATAACTCTGAACAAGCTTGCTTTGGATGGAGGCATCCAATCCTGCCTTGCCTTAGTGAGCTCCTGGGGTCTGCAGTGTCCAGTGGCACTGAGCTCTGCAGGGTAGAAGCACTTTCTTATATGCAGCCGTTGGCTTCATCTTGCTGCACTTCTGGGTCTTTGGGTCAGTGCCACAGTGCAGCCAGGTCCCATAACTGACTGTTTGTCAGCAAGAGCCCCTGAGAGCAGCAGGGTGAGGCTGACCTGTGAAGCTGTTTCCAAGGGCTCAGCAGCACTGCTCTCCTCAGCAGCTTGAGGCCAGTATGGTGGGGACAGGATTTCTAGACTTGCTCGTCTGGGAACATAATGACTGTCCTAAGCTTGCAGCTGGGGAGATTTCAGTGTAATGTATCTCAGCCACAACACCTCTGCATAGCATTAAGCAGAGCAGCACATGATCGTAGCATCCATCCTGTGACAGAGGAAACCTGAGTGGCCCAGAGGCAATGAAGCGCAGGCAGTGCTGGAGAGGACAGGCTCTGCAGCCTGCAGTGGGGACCACGGGGCTTGGGGACAACGTGGATCCCAATTACGGGGTGTCTTCTGTCCCCGTCCCCCCCAGCCCCTTCACCCAGAAGCAACTGTTTGATTTGACCACTTTGGAGCAAACACTGCAGGAGCACCTCTGCCTGTGGTGGTCAAGTGTAGAAGTAATTTTGTATTGTGATTTAAAGAGCTAAAGAAACAAGGAGTGAGTGGACAGGGGCATTTGTCTGACCGGCCGTCATGCACTTCTTGCTCCCAGAGCCCTGTTTGTGAGCAGAGCCATATTGTGCAGGCTGCATGAGGCCAGTAGGACCCTGCAGATCTTGCAGCCTGAATTGGGGTGTTGAACCACCCCATCTTGTGGCTCAGCTTGTGGCCCCCTCCCGCTTCTGTCTCATTACTTTACCCATATCCTGTGGGAGCCCTATCGTGCCCCTTTTGTTGCTCTTCTACATATTTATATACCATTTCTTCAAATAATTCTTCACCCACCCTGGTGTTTATTACAACCCTTAAACATTAGGAGGCCGGTTTCAGGTTCTAACTGGTCAGATGTGGGTTTTTGTAATGGTTTTTCTTTCTACCCTTCAATTTGTCTGGGTGACTCTCTTCTGAACTTCTTCCAGTCTGGCACTTCGGTGCAAGAGGCGAGGGGCTGCCTGAGCTGCACTGGGACCAGCGCCCTTGCCCTGCTGCACCAGCAGGCATTTCAGCTCTGCTTTTACCATCCCCTGATGGCAGTAGGTGGAAGGCCCAGCAAAGGCCCTTGGGGTTTCTACACCCCCAACGCACCCGTGGCTCACTGGGCAACGGCAGCATTCCTAGGGTGCTAGCATGCTGGAGCGTGCGGCAACATCTCCAGCAAAACAGGGTGAGAGCTGACGTGGGGATGCAGCAGAGATGCTGCTGCCGGGCTAGTGACCGCGGTTCAGGTCCGGAAAAATGATTTCACACTCCAGCGCGGACCTCAGCTGATGCGAAGTGAACCCCTCTTGGTGTCAACCACGAAGCCGGCAGGGCTGCCCACCGCCGCGCAGGGGCTAGAGGAACGGAGCTGCACAAGAGCCGCCTGGTGCGTCTGGGCACGGGGACGGGGTGCGGGTAGCCGCAGGTGATGCGTGAGGCTGCCGAGTGGAGGATTTCTGTTCCTTCTGGATGCCGCCAGCGCGGGCTGCCGGGGAGCGGCGGCGACAGCGCGGGCACTCCTCGGGGCCCGCTGCTGGCAGGCGGGTTGTGGACCGCCCGCCCGGGAACTGCCCCGGCCGGTGGGGGTAAGCGCGGCCGCGGCGCTCGCCGAGCGGTG